CTGCTCCAAAGAGCTCTCCCGGCTCTGGAGAAGGTTCTGGAGCGCGGTCCCTCGCGGAACGAGGCGGGGATCGTGGGTTCCGTGATCCACCATGATCCTGGGTTCCGTAATCCATCCCGTCTCCCGGGTTGGTTTTGGGGACCTGCCGGGGGCTGGCCCGGCTGTCACCAAAGCCCCCTCTTCACGGACATCCCAAATTCCCGGCTCGGGGGGTTTCGGAGCCCCCCACCCTGCCAGGGGCAGAGCCAGGGCCCGGGGGCGGTGCAGGCGGGCGGGGGGCTCGGCGGGGCTCCGGGCACGGGGCGGTGGCACCGGGGGCTCAGCGGGGCTCCGGACCCCAGGCTGGCAGCGGGGTGAGCCCGGGGGGCAGCAGGGCGAAGCGGGGGCTCTCCAGGGGCTGCCAGGGTGCGGGAGAGGGGGTCCCGCCGGGAACCAGACCTGCGGGACGGACACGGGGCTCAGGCATCGCCCCCGGGGCGGGGGACACCCAGGGGACCCCGGGGTCCCGCAGCCGCCGGCAGCTCCCGCCCTGCCCGTGCCGGGGTCCCGGCCCCAGGTACCGCAGCAAGCGTCGTCCCAGGCGCAGGGGCCGGAGGCGCAGAGGTGCAGCGGGGCCGGGGCGCACGGGGAGGTGGCGAGGCCGTGACCGTGACCGTGACCGTGACCGTGACCGTGACCGTGACCGTGACCGTGACCGTGACCGTGACCGTGGCCGTGACCGTGGAGGGGCTGCGCCGAGCCCGCGGGGGTGTCCGGGAGGGGCTGCGTGGGGACCGGAAAGGGCGATGTCACCGGGCTTCCCTGGGCACCGGGGACAGGCCGGGGCGCTCGGGGCCCCCCGAGAATCCGGAGCCTGGCCGGGTGTCCCCAAACCCCGGGACGGGGCGCGTCCTACCTGAGCGGCGGCGGGGCCGAAAGCGGGMGGGATCCAATCGCACCAGGAGCCTGTGCGGGCACGGGAGGGGACAATGTCCTGGCTCGGCCACCACAGGACCCCCAGCCCTGATTTACCGGACGACACAGGGAGCGGCCGTGCTCCTGTGGGGTCTCCGGGAAGAAACCCCCGTAGTCCCAGCGCCAAATTCCCTCCCAGGGGCACCCCCGGACSCCACCCCTGTCCCCTCGGTCCCCGGGGTGTCACCTGCCCCGCCAGCCTCCAGCTGCCGTTTGTTCTCCCGTCGCCACTTGGCCCGGCGGTTCGAGAACCAGACCTGGGGAGGGGATGGGAGCTGAGGCTGCCGCCCCCCGCCCATCGCACGGTGCGCGGGCCCAGGAGCGCCCCGGCTCCTCGGCACAGCTCTGAGCCCCGGGACACGAGCTCGTTACACCCCGGGAGCGCACAGGGACACGGGGGGGACACGGGCAGAGGGAGGGGGGTGATCCCGCATCTTCCCCACCTCACCGGGGAGGGGCTGGGAGCACTCGCGGGACTCCGGGCGCGTCCCCGGCACAGGACACGGGACACTCGAGCTGCTCTCGTCCCCCGTGTGCTGCGGGGTGCCTGGCACGGGGGACKCGCTGCTGGCACTGCCTGGGCACACGGAGACCGGCAGCGGTCTGGGGCTGGAGGGGAGGGGGCTGCCCTGGGAGAGGGTTGGCACTGGGACAGGGATGTGGGTCTGGGGCTGCTTGGAGGGATGTGTGAGGAGTGTGTGCCAGGGAATGTGCCAGGGAATGTCCCACTGAGTGTGCCAGGGAATGTGCCAGGGAATGTGCCAGGGAATGTGCCAGGGAATGTCCCACTGAGAGTGCCAGGGAATGTGCCACTGAGTGTGCCAGGGAATGTGCCACTGAGTGTGCAAAGGCCTGTGCCACATGTGCCAGGGGCTGTGCCTCGGCTCTGCAGCGCTGAGCTCCGTGGCACCATCCAGCAATGTCCCCAAAATCTCCTGTGCCCTGCGCTGGCCCCGTGGCGGAGCAGAACCGGGGGGAGCCGGGATCGGGGCCGTGCGGGGATCGAGGCCGTGGCTGGAGCGGGATTGGGGCCGTGCGGGGATCGGGGCCATGAGGGGATCGGGGCCGTGGCCGTGCGGGAACAGCCACAGCGTCTCCAGGGCTCTCAGCCCCGCTGTGGGTGGCCCGTGACAGAGGCGACAGGCACAGGGACACTGCCGGGGGCACCCTGAGGGTCCCGGTGCCCGAWCCCGGTGTGAGACCATTCCCGGCATCAGCGGGAACAGATCCCCGAGCCAGGGACAAAGCCAGTCCTGGGGAGTCACTGCCACCATCGGAGCCTGTCCCACCCCTGCGACCGCCAGCAGCGGTGACAGGTTTGGAGATGTCCCCAAGGCACGAGTGATCTCTGTTCCCCGGAGCTGACAGCCCCGATCCCAGCGGCCTGGCCGGGCTGCCCCGGACACCGGGATGTGGCCATCTCCCGTTCGGAGCGTGGCGGGTCCCTCTTACCCTGATGGTGGTGTCCGGGAGCTGGGTGGCCGCGGCCAATCTCTCCCGGGTGGCCGTGTCCGGGTACTGTCCCCTCTGGAACTCTGCAAGGGGAATTGGGGTGAGAGGAGCCGGGTCGGGGCAGACACCCCGCGGCATCCCGGCAGCCAGAGCCCGGTGCCAGCGAATCGGGCTGAATTGGGGTGTTGTGTGGTGGTTTGGGGCCATTCACAGGGGCACGAGCCGGTCCGGAGAGGGACAATTCCCTCCCCTGGGAGCAGCCCCGCTCCGTCCCGCTCGGATCCCGCATCCCGCGGGGAGCGCACCTTCCTCCAGAGCCTCCGCCTGCTGCCTGGAGAACACGGTCCTGTTCCTGTTCCTGTTCCTGCTCCTGCTCCCGTGCCGGGGGCCCAGCGGGAGCCGCCAGCCCGCACCGGAGCCCTGGGTCCCCGGGAGCACGGCGGGMGCGGCCGGAGGGGACACTGCGGGGACAGAGAGGCAGGAGTGGAGGCGGACCCGGCCCTGGGGGCTCCCCGGAGAGCTCGGGAAGGGTCAGGAGGGCTCCGGGCTTTGGGGTAGCCCAGCAAGGCTCACCCGGTGGCCGCGGGTCCCGGGGCTCGGCCGGCAGCCGGAGGTCGCTGGGCAGGGTCCTGAGCACGCGGTTGATGGAGGAGACCTGGGCAGGGGAGAGGGGGATGTGGGACCCCCGGGGATGGATCGTGGGGGCTGTGGGGGACAGGAATGGATGTCCAGGAGTTGTCTCTGGGATGCTCTCCGGAGCCAGGGGTTCCCCTCCGCCCCGGGGCCGTGCCCGTCTGCTCCCGATTTGTGATCCTGGAACCGCGGAGCTCCGGGGACCGGCAGAGTGTAACGGGAGGCGATTGGCACGGCGGGCATTGCCCTTGGGGAGCACAGCTCTCCCTCCCTGCGCTCCACTGTCACTTCCGAGCGCGGGTCACGGAGCCGCGGCGGTGTCCCCAGGCCCGAGGTGGCAGCCGGGCTCGGGGGTGGCCGTCGGGGCTCTGCTTTGGCTGGGAAGGAGCGATTTGCCGTCCCCTGCCCGCTCCAGCTCCGCATCTCAGCAAGCACCGAGCGCTTCCCTGCGGCTTCTCCCCATTCGCAAATCCTTCCCGCTGACCCGAACCCTTCAWGGCACTGGGCCCTTCCTTCCCTGTGCATCCTTTCTATCATCCCGGACCCTTTTCTGGACATCTCATCCCCCCGGTCCCTTCCTTCTGCATCCTTCCCATCACCACGAGTCTTTCCTTCCCTGCCCTTCCTTCCCATCACCCCGAGTCCTTCCTTCTGCATCCTTCCCGTCACCCCGAGCCTTTCCCGTCACCCCGGTCCCTTCCCTGCCCTTCCTTCCCCGCTCCCGCACCCTCCAGCCCCCGGCCGTTCGGTCGGACCCCCGGCTCTGCCTGGCCCCCAGAATTCCCGCATTCCCGGGATTCTCGGCGGGACTCACGCTGGGGATGCCTCCGCTGGCACAGATCCCCTCGGTGTGCAGCTGCCGCCGGATCTCCCAGGCGAAGAGCCCGGGCTGCTCCCGCTTCAGCCGGGCGATCGTGGCCACCACGGCGGGGGTGGCCGTGCGGGG